ACAACACAAACAGGGCAAAAATGCGTTTTAAGTTTGGAAACATTTTGAGTCTCCCCCTCCCTTGCCTCACAGTGCTTTGGTCCAAATGCCTACTTTCCTCTTTTACATCACCTAACATTACACACACACACACACACACACACAAGTCCGGTGAGAGAGAACAAAGCCAATAGTTGTGGAACTCCAAGGCTGTCAAGGCTATTTTATTCACTTAAACATCAGATGAAGTGATTATTTTCTCTTTAATACAGATGATACCAATGTATTTTTCGATGAGTCTGCTATGTTAGCAATAATAACGTTACCTGTTTGAGGGAAAAGGTTGCCAGGATTTCATAACAAAACCTGCCCAATTGCTACTCAAAACTAGCCCAACCTATCCACGTTTCGAGGGGGTCCCCCGGTAAAAATCGCATTCCGGGGGCTAAGATACACATTATTGGGGTCGCTTCAACCTGCGGACATGAAAAACAACCGACGTCAACAGTCATAAAGTAGCCCAATACCACAGGAAAACCGCGGACTTGGCAACACTGTGATGGATAGTAATGTCTACAACGGACACGAGCGCTCGAACACAACAGCTTGAAGTTGTCTAATTTGGCACGGTCTACCTGCTGCACTAATAGTAGTAAGCCATTCCTCTGTGTAACCATATCCTTACAAGTACAATTTTAGCTGTATTATGTGTGTCCCCTTCAAAAATTGCTCTTGAGAAATGTTATGTTTATTGCCCCCCCCCCCCCCAACTGTTAGACGAAATTTACGCCCCTGGTCACATGGTTCTAGGGACTGCCACTTACTAGAGCAAAAGATAATGAACTTTAAAGTTCTTTTGGTGAGGGATTTAGAGCGCAATACCCTAAAATAGCTTACAGCAACCACTGCTTTGAGCAAGCAGAAGAGGAATCACATAATGACAGATTTTAAAGGGGGCTAGATTAAAACCAGTGTGGCTGAAACCCTCCTAAATGGGGTCAAGAATTGTCTATGGACACTGAGGACATAAAGGACGGCACACAATAGAACGGGGAGACTGTGTGACAGAGGGTAAAGCACACTATCAGTGTATTAGGATTAAGGGAGTACGCTGCCTGGTAAATGCTGAGTGACACAGTGGTTCACTGGATTGTAGATTGTATCAGGATTGTAGATCTGTATCAGCGCTCGTTTTCTCTCTCTCACACACACACCCGCTCGCATGCACCATTAGCACATCTCTGTGCCGACAAGGTCTCTATGCAGGTCTAATTGTGAGGAAGTTGTGCTGAGTTTCTTACCCAAGGGTGCAAGATCTAAGAGCACTGGTCGTCCTCTCAACCTCTAGCAGAGAGACTCTCTCTCTCTCTCTCTCTCTCACACACACATATAGACCCTTTATTGTTGTAGTTAATCAACTTAATTACCAGATGTTAATGCCTTTCACCCCATCTCTACGGCAGCATTTGTCTTTTATCTCTGTGTGTCCATGTAGCTATTCTTCTGTTGAAGTGTGTGGGTGTTTAATTTTAGCACACTGATGGGAGGTGTAAAGTATTGGAACCAATGTGAGTGACAAACTAGATGATTTCCCATAATTGCTTTGGGCACCGCTGCTTTGAAGTAGCAACTGTACTGCGGCAAGGTTCTCAGAATGGCTGCTTGTCGGTCTTCAACCATTCCCGTACAATATTTCATGAAGAAATAATCTGATTATCACATAATCCATTGAGCAGTTTCATCTTGCACACTGGATTAGTGTCTTTTTAGGCACAATGAGATTAGTTATTGTGGCGACACACTTCGCTTCATTTAGGAATTTATCTTAGGTGATGTGCAAGGTTCCTGCACAGATCGTCTCATCTCGTTTTCTCACCTTGTCTCTTCTCTTCCACCGTCTTTTCTTGTCTTGTCACATCTCATTACGTCTCATCTCATCCTGTCTTCTCTCCTCACATCTTGTCAAAACTCTTCTCGCCTTATCTTGTCTCTTGATGACAGAAACAGGAAAACTATTAGAAAAACAAAGTAAATAGAGAATAAATAACAATACAGAATATGACAGAAGAAAAAGACTAACGTATACAAAAAAAAGTGTGTGCCTAATTGTAGAATGTGCATTTGTAATGTACTTCAAATCTTTAAAGCATCTTTGAAAAAACAACAACAACAATTGTACTTGCAGATAATATAATATTAATGAAATAAACCTCACTTAAGTTTACTTATGGAGGGTGCACTTTCATGAATATGTTTCTTAACACATAACAGGTAAGTGCACTTTAAAGCAACTGTATGTATTTTTGAATAATTATACTTTGGGCCCCCTACAGTTAAAAGAGTGGAATTCACGGTCATAAATATATCACTGTCCTAATTACAGTGCATAGCTGTACAAGTTAATTTTTTGCTGCTGTAAAGCAGCCCGCCCTTTTCTCAGAGTTTCGTACCCGCTACCAAACTTGCATACAGGCATTGCATACATTTTTTTTTTGAGTCCGCGGGTTGAAGTGAACCCCTAGAGTGCAGTGTTTTTTATTATTATTTTTATTATTAAGGTGTAGTGTTTTTCTATTATTACATTTAAGTAAATAAATTTAGGAAAAAAGGACTAATTTGCAACTTCATTACAGATGTACATTTACAAATAGATTTAATACATGATACAAGTTTCGATAGAAATGGCATTGAAGTATATTTCAGTTTACCACAAATGTCAGTTAATTCGGTATACACGTTAACCGTGTTTCAAAGACAATATAAGTAATTATGAATTTACATATAAATATGTACTACTTAAGTGGGTCTAAAGATCACCTAATTGCATTCAATATAAATTTAAATCAAGGAAAGCCAACCCTGCTCCTGGAGAGCTACCTTTTGCTTCCTGCAGACTTCAGTTTCAAATTAGTGTCAGCGCACCTGCCTGTAATTTTCAAGTGACCCTGAACATCTTGATTAGCGGGTTCAGGAGTGTTTGATTGGTGTTGGAGCTGAACCCTGCAGGACATAGCTCTCCAGGAGAAGGGCTGGCTTCCCTCGATTTAAACTATAATACATTTTCATTTAATTGAAATTATGTGTCTGAAAACATTAAATGAAAATACTTAAGTGCCAACTGAATGTAAAGTATATTATTTCCACAGTAGTTACTCCTTTTAAAGTATGTTTAATTGTACATCTTTTCACAAGGATGTACAGGTATAGAACGTACATGAAACTGAATAAATATTTGATTGAATTGACATTGTCCTTATATTGCACTGTGGGGAGACCCCATGAGGCAGTTTTAATTGTTCATGAGGTAGATGGCTTGAGGGAAAAAACTTGTGCTCGGATGTTCTAGTGTCCAGTTCTCTGTAGCAACGTTTCGAAGAGGAAGTGGCATGTGTGTGTGTGTGTGTGTGTGTGTGTGTGTGGTCTGAAATGATTTCTCCTGCCCGTTTCTTCACTCTAGAAATGTACAGGTCTTGGAGGGTGGGCAGTGGAGCACCAATAATCTTCTCAGCAGTCCTGACAGTCCATTGCGGTTTCCTTCTGTCCAATTTGGTAGCTGAACCAAACCAGATAGTTATGAATGTACACAGAACAGACTCAAAGACGGCTGACAACTGTATCAGCCGCTCCTGTTACAGGTTCAATCATAGACTGGCTTGGAAAAACCCAAACGTGTCATATGCTTGCCAGTTTTGTGTGCATCAGATGGTCAGAGCACAGACAGTGGGCAGTTCATGGGTCGGCCGTTTGAAGCTGAGACCATTATTGCATTCAGCTCGTTTAAACAATGCTGAGATCATGATATTTAAGATTTAATTATGTAAACAGCGATAGAAAATATTTACTGCATATATCAAACACTACGAGCTCTATGTGGTAGTTCAAGCATTGTACATTGATGAACAACTCTGGTGCTCAGGTTGTTTGTCATTCATTCCTCCACACATTGCTGCTTGCTGACACCCTGAAAACAAGTGACCGTGAAAAAGCTGGGAAAGTGGATGGGGTTGACATATGTTAAGCCATTTAAATGATTCCTTTAGTCACCCACATGCAGAAGTCCTAATATTACTTTTTGTTTACAACAAATAAATGTTGGATGTTATGCAGTTTATTATAAATGGTAGATCAGTAACACTTTACATTTGTTTACAGTAGGTTATATGAACTAACAATAAAAAATACTTATTTAGCATTTAATAATCGTAATGTTAATTTACTAATTTACAAATACAATCAAAAGCATCAATATTAAATAGACTTGAGCTAACATGAATTAACAATGAACAGTTGTTAACCAATATTTATAAATACTGTAACAAATGTAATGCTTATTGTTAGTTGAGTAAGGGATAATGTAAAACCAGTTGTTATCGCAGAATAAACCCCTGTTATTCACTACAATGTACAAAACCGTCATCCTGGCAAAAAGATGAACACTACAACAGTATTACAGTTCTATTAATACAGATTTTCAATGCAGTCCATAAGTAAGACAAAAGATGGAACCAGTTGTGTTAGCATGAAACAAGAAGGAGCATTACTAATGACAGTCATAATCAAGGAATAACAGACCTCAGAATGTTACGACTGACCAATTAGAATCAAACATTAAAAAAAGCTCTATAATAATGTCAGTTAAAGGAATAGTTCACCCAAAAGTGAAAATTCTGTTGTCATTTACTTACCCTCCACTTGTTCCAAACCTGTCTGAGTTTCTTTCTTCTATTGGTCACAAAAAGAAGATATTTTGAAGAATGTTGGTAACCCACCACTTGATGGTAGCCATTAGTTGTTGACTTCCATACTGCTGAAGTCAACAACTACCGTCTACTATTTGGTTACTAACATTCATCAAAATATCTTTTGTGTTCAGCAGAAGAAAAACACTCAGACAGGGTTGGAACAATTTGAGAGTAAAGAAGTAAAGACATTTTATTTTCGGGTGAACTCTTCAATGCATACATGCAACTAACATTGTAGTGTACTGACAGATCTGTATGTTCTGTAAACGATCTGTGCAGGGGTGTCACGGCTGGTGTCCGGGGGCCGGTGGGACTGTCTGACTGCGGGGGATTCGTGCTCCAGCGATGAGGCGTGCAGCCCACGCTTGAGAACGCTGCGGCAGTGTGTCGCAGGCGGCGGAAGCGTGAAGCTGGGACCGGGTGCGCGCAACCACTGTGAGAACGCAGTGACGGCCCTGCTGTCCAGCCCCCTGCACCGATGCCAGTGCAAACGGGGTATGAAGAGAGAGAAAAACTGTCTTAGCATCTACTGGAGCCTCAAGCAGTCCGTGCTGCACGGTGAGCAAATTCATATTCATAATTTTTCTTTGTCACATACGAAGCACTCGCTCACGCAATGATGCAATTACAAGTTCTAATACCCACACCCACGCAGTCCCCGGAAACCACTTCAATAGATGCTAATTAGACGCTGCGTTTTAATATGCTAACCAGCTTAGAATTATAGAAGCATTACTGCAAACTGAACTTTTACCTGTGACACTCTCATTAATTCACTGATACATACATGCATACAAAAAAAATTATAAAAATTACTCCGTTACCATGGCCACAAAAAAACCTGTTTGTGTGTGCGTTTACAGGGCTGAGCCTGGTGGAGAATTACCCCTATGAGCCTGTCGAGCGGGGCTTTGATTATGTTCGCCTGGCCTCCATCGCTGCAGGTCAGTGATTTGCACAGACACACTATGCCGATTATGTACTATGGTGTTGGAATTGATATTTGGAACTGATCACGATGTGTTTTGTCACTTCTATGCCAAGCATTAGCAGTGAAGAGTTATTAACAGGGCAGAGCTTAATAGCTTACAACAGCAAAACATGAGCGCTTTGTTTAATGTACTTGGATATAACATGGTTGGGTTCATCTGCACCGTTGATGATAAACTGCATTTCCTACAAAATGAGGCATGCATCAGGGGCCTGTCAGGAGCAGAACAAACATTTCGTTGTGGGCCAAAGACTCTCAGACGGACCTAACAAAGACTAAACAGTAAGATGATTTATCTCAGAATTTCATTTTCTAATCAAGGCTTTTCGCTCATCACTTTCTCATCTCTCTCCCATCTCATTACATTCACTCAAAATAGCACTGTACCAAGTTTAGAAACTTATTTTTGGAGGAGCCACAAGACTAAAACTCTCAGTTTGTCAGCCTTATAGTTTATGGGGTGCTTAAGGCATGAGCTGAATTTTATGAACCCCGAGGGCAGCACATAATGATCCATTTACTCATCATCTCTCTTGTGCGCACACAGACTCATAGACACACTTGAGTCCAAGCAGACGCACATAAAATAACATTTAAACTCTTGGGGATAGGACAGAGAACGATTTCCTCAAAGTAATGAAAGTAATGTCGGTCATTCAAGCGTGACTTTTAATGATGGCTGCTCTCTACTCTCAAACACTGCGAGCGTTTAACAAGCTGGCTCGGTAGAGACAACAAAGATCAAACAAAAGTGTCAAAATTAGAAAGGGGAGGGTAGAGAGAAGGGGGAGAGATACACAGAAATAATAATAGTAAAAAGACAGAAACTAGGAAAAATGTGTTAATTATAGAATTTCTTAGATATTATATTAAATATATACATTATATAATTGATAAATATATTCTTAACATTATATTGACCTTGTTGCAGGCTATTCTGTCAGTATTACAGACTCTAATTAAAAGGCACACTTATCCAAACAGGTACTTTTGTTCTTTTTTTTTTTCCTCTGTGTGTTTGTTCATTCATATGGCATAAGGCTTTCAATGTATTTTACTGGATAAATTACTGTATATTAACCTTGAAAAATACAGATTTTCATTGAAAGATACAGTACATATTTCATTTTAGAAATCTATTCATGAGGCCTGTAATAATAGTTTGATTGGTCCTAACAAACTTGTTAGATGTATTTACATCTAGAATCTCTGTATACAGCAATATAATGAGCACCAGGGTCCAGAATATTGGCTGAGTATTGATCACAAGCTTGCAAAATCCCTTAATGATGTATGAGAAAGTAACCTCGCTGAAACAGATTTTGAGCAGAATGAAAGAAAGAAAGAAAGAAAGAAAGAATGAATGAACAACAGCAAAGAAAAATAATGAAATTAAGACAAACAAGCATGGAAGAAGGAACAGAAGAATGAAAGTAAGATGTGGAACACTGAAAAAAAACAAGTAAAATTTACTTAATTTTTCTTTTGCAAGTTTTTGCACACATATTTTTTAAAGTAAAATTTAAGTATGGAATAAAGTAGAATCTACTTAACTAAGTTATGTAAAATTAGCGAAGGAAATACGTAAATTTAACGTAGCCAGTAAGAGTTTGATGAGTAATTTCTACTTAATTATTTTAAGTTTACTCTGCAATACTCAAGTACATTTCACTCAGTCATGGTTTGTAAACTTTTTCAAACAATGTAGCATAGTAAGCAAGCAAGTAGATGGCTTGTTATCCTTTTTAAGATAATGTGTTTACTCAATATAGTTATTAATGAAATGAACACAATCAACAATCAGTGGATATAGTGTTTGAGTATGAATGGGTTATTTTGAGTAGAAAATTAACTCCAAATGTCACAAAACAGCAAGTTACTAAACCTAACAACAAAAGCAACCATAAAATAGTGTCAATAGAACTAGAAAACAGTGAATTAATTATTCATGCCCGAGCGCATGATGGGAACAATGGGATCATAACTCTGATATTTACTTAAAGAATCCTTGTAAACAAACAATTCCAAGTAAAATATACTTATAAGTTCAAACTTTCATTTCTACATGCTTAAATTGAGTACTAATATAGAATTTACTCTCTTTTTTTAAATTATTGCCTGAACTAAATTATTTAATGTAGAAATTACATTTTGTTTTTCCGTAGTATTTACTTCACCACAAAATAATTTTATCAGTGAAAAGAAGGAGGAAAGAAGAAAGGAAGGAAGAACAAGAAAGGAAAAAAAACATTCACAGACAGGAAGGAAACAAGGAAAAAAGGAACAAAGGAAGGACAAGCGAAGGAAGTTGGAAGGGAAGCGAAGGAAGGAAGCAAGCAAGCAAAGAAAGGAAGCAAAGAAGGAAAAAAAGAAAGCAAAGGAAGGAAGGAAACAACAAAGCATGATCAGAGGGACAGATGGATGGAAATAAATAAGGGGAAAAGAAATTAGTGGAAAAAAGGAATGAAGAAAAGGAAGCAAGCAAATGAAGGAAGGAAACAATAGAAAGTAAAGTAAGAAATAAAAGAATAAAGGAAGGAAGGGAAGAAAAAGCGAACAAGCCATAGAAGGAAGGAAGGGAAGGATGAGGGATGGAAAGATTTAATTAAAAAGGTGAAAAGAAAGAAGGGAAATAAGAAATAATGGAAGAAAAAAAGGAACTAAGGAGAAATGAAGAAATGAAGGGGGAAAGAAAGTAAAGAAAGAATAAATTAAGGAAGAAAAGAAAAAGGAAACAGGAGGAGGAAGAAAACAAACTGAAGAAATGAAGCAAAGAACAATGGATGGATTGATGGAAAAGATAAATAGGACATGTTGATATAGAGGTCAAGAAGAAGAAAAAGATGACAGTGAAGAGGGCAGTGGTTAAAAAAGTCCACGGCTCATGGGGGAAGAGAGAGCGAGAAAGAGAGAGAGAGAGAGAGAGAGAGAGAGAGAGAGAGAGAAAGCGAGCTCTATGGCAGTGAAATGCTGGCAGGCTCTCTGCGGCCCACATTAGTCTGATATGAAAAATGAAGCAGCAACAGCAGAAGCCAGTCTCAGTTGGGACCTGCTCTGTGATAAAAACCAGACTCATTCAACTTTCATTCTCACTCATGCTCTACTCATTAGCAGCACACACAGGCCACCCAGACTCACATCCTCTTAGAGCAGACCAACTCAAACCTTCGTTAGGACATGAGAGAAAGAGACGTTCTGTATGAACCTCAACCCTCATTAGAACAATGAGCAAGAGCCCACCTCCAAAACACATGCCGCTCTGACAGCTGGACAAGGCGGTTGCGAAAGTTCACAGAGTCTGGGACAAAATGTATATCTTCCCTTGGCCTATTGATTAGGCAATATAAAAGACATTAGTTATTAAATTGGAAGGCTTTTGTAAGTGATTTAATACACTCTCATGGCGATTTGTAACTATTTCGCATTTTAAACAAATTAGTGGCTAATTAGTACAATCTCATTTGTACGTTTTCAAACTATTTGCTTATGCCCCATTGACGGTTAAGTTAAGGAAATGGAATAGAGGGGGAAAAGAAAGAAGAAAAGAAAAACAAGGAAGGAAGCAAAGAAAGACAGGGAAAAAGGAAACGAAGAAAAGAAGCTAAGTACTGAAGCAAAGAAAGAAAGCAAGAAAGAAAGGAAGGGAGGGACAATTTGCTTATGCCCCATTGATGGCTATAGGTTTAGGAAATGGAAAAGAAGGGGAAAATACATTTGAGAAAGAATAAAGTCAAAAAGAAAGGAAGCAAGTAAGAAAAAAATGAAGGAAGCAAATAAACAGGAAAACAAAGGGAGTAAGTGAAATAAAAAGAAAGGCAGCAAAGGACTGAGGCAAAGAAAGCCAAGGAAGGAAGCAAAGAAAGAAGCAGTAGTGAACGAAAAGAGGCACAGGATGAGAGATGGAAGGATAGAAAGTAAAGAAAGGGGAGGAATAGAAGGAAGAAACAAGAAAGTTGGAAATGAAGAAAGAAAGGAAGGCAGCGAAGAAAATTAAGCAAAGGAAAGAATCAAGCAAATAAAGTATGAAAGCAGGAAAGGATAGAAGGAAACAAATAAAGGAAGGAAAGAAGCATGGGAGGAAGGAGGGAAGAATGGAAATAAAGAAGAAAAGGAGATAGATCTCGCAAAATAGTTACATTTTCTTATGAGATGGGGTTGGTGCATTGCATTATTTTGGCTTCGGGTACAAAGAATGTTATGTTGCTTGGTAAATAATAATACATTTGGCAGTTGTGGTTTGGTATTCTGTGGTATCTTGAATACAGGCGTCTGTTTCAGCACTGGACAGCGACTGCAGCCACTCCAACTACCTTTTTGTTTGTACTCCAAAGTAGGCAAGTGTAACTAACACGCTAATCTCTTTACACCCTGAAATCACAAGCCTGCTTCTCTCTCCTTCCTTTCAGAGTCTGAGGTGGGCATGACAACAGTGAACCGTTGTTTGGATGCTGCCAAGGCTTGTAATGTCGATGAGACGTGTCAGAAACTACGTACGGAGTATGTGTCGGCGTGCATCGCCCCATCAGCGCGAGCCGGGCCCTGCAACAGAGCACGCTGCAGCAAAGCACTGAGGAAGTTCTTTGACCGTGTGCCGCCTGACTACACGCACGAGCTGCTCTTCTGTCCGTGCTCCGACACGGCATGCTCAGAACGACGGCGCCAGACCATTGTGCCTGCGTGCTCGTATGAAGAAAGGGAAAAACCCAATTGCCTGGCACAACTTCGAGTTTGTGAGGCAGACTATGTGTGCAAGTGGGTATTGTGTGAAAACGACTGCTATAAATACAATCAAGCTCTTTTGAAGGGCCTGAAGATTGAAGGTCTGTGCTCTATAGGGAGCAATATACAAAGGTGCACAAAGTCATTTTGTTCCTTTCTAAAAAAAAATTTAAACAAACCCAAAGGCCTTCATCGGTCTCTGCCATCGATCAACCATCACGCTTACACACGGCAAGCAAACAGTCTGCTGACACAACACATTACACAAGAGGAGATCACTTACGGCCACAACAGCCAGTTAGCATAAGAAATCAGCAGGGAATGTGGGTAATTCCTCTGAGACTGACCTGGTTACATGATTGATTGGTCACCAGAGGACTGGCAGAATGTGTCCTGCATGTAAATGGTCGCTGTCGGCTGAGTTTCCGTCTGCTGAGTATCTGGCAGTTCTCCAGAATTCTGAAATGCAGTCATGTCTCTGATTAAAATGAGAGCAAAACGAATGAATCAGGACTGTGCAGAGTATATGTAGGGGGGGATTGAAAAAAAGAGAAAATGACTGAGAATGGAGTGGAGTGTGTTGGTGTAAAGCTTTCTAAACAGAACAGAAGAAGACAAAACAGAACAGAGTATGTAGCCCCTTCCACACACATAATGAAATGTAGCATAGAGGAAAGTGTTTGTGGGAATGCATGTTTCTGAGGGTTTGCTGACTGGCTGGATGATGGATGTGCTGTTGTGGTTCCCTCAGGTCTCGCTGGGCTCAGTTCCAGCACGACTGCCAACCCTCCGAGCTTACTGCCAGCGGCTGCCAGCAAGAAAATTACGGAGCCTGCCTTGTTGCGTACACCGGCCTGATAGGTGAGAACTCTGGGCAACGTAGTCCACCCTGGCTTATCACATACACCAGTCAGGTAGATTAGAATTATGGCCATTACAATCTTATCGGGCTTGGCATTACAATCTTATCCACCGACAGTTAGAATTCTAAGAAGAGAAGACCACCGTGACACAAGCTTTTGGGGGTTTATATTAGACTTTATCAACAATGCATGTGATGCATATACTACAATTACAATCCTCATTACAAACATGTATGACTTCTGCAGAACACAAAAGAAGATATTTTCAAGAATGCTTCAATTGTTTTTGTCCATACGATGACAGTCAGTGGTGTCTAAATTATCTAAGCTTTTAAGTCAGGGGTGTCCATTTCTGCTCCTGGAAGGTCAATGTCTTGCAGAGTTTAGCTCCAGTCGGCTCCAACACACCTGTCTCATAGTGAAATACAGCATTTCACTTCACTTTTTTTATGTCCTTCCCTTGCTAACGTCCCTCCATCTTGCTGACTCGGATGGATGTCATTGTTTATATTTCTCAAGTGCCTACTACTGGCGGAACCCTTGCAATGGGTTAAACTGGAATGTCCTAGGAAGCAAGTATTTTACGATTAAATCTCAAAATAATTCATATACAGTATATCATACATTAGAGTTGTGAGGGGTGGGGAAAATTAAACACCATCTGCTGTGACATCACAATCGTGTTGCTTTGTGGCATATTGAACTGCCTGAAGGATACATATGAGTTGACTCACTCCGTCTATCAAAGGGGTCAAGGGTCTGTCCATATAAACTTCCTCCTCCACTTGACAAAGTAGAAATTTGTCAAAAAGCGAAATGGAACACACCCCATGTTTCTAGTAGAGGTCCAAAATATCTTGATTAGCTGGTTCAGATGTGTTTATTTAGGTTTGGATCTAAACTCTGCAGGACGCTGGCCCTCCAGGAGCAGGTTTGGACACCACTGCTTTAAGCTGTTATTTGGTTCTGCGGCTCTGTACGAACCCAAGTACTTTTGGGTCTGATCTCTGCAGTAAATTTGTGTCATTAACTTAAGTACCATCATAACTACAAGTGGCAGTTGATCACTATAAACAAGCAATGATTCTGGTTGAGAAGATTCCAGCTTCTACTAAAACTTTTGTTTTAGTACTTCACAGCATTTGTCTGTGGAGGTATTGTAAAAGATGCAGTATAAACAATGTGGGCTGCTTTCCGAAGGCAATTTATTTGGAGACGAGCAGCTATGAGACACATTTCACTATAATAAATGTGACCAGGAACGTGCAGTGACGCAAATTTTATGTCATCCGTTAGAGGCTCACTTTTGTTGTTAGTCCCGGAAACAAACTGAACTCAGATTACAAATGGACTCGGCCAAAAACATTAGAGTGACAGCACCCTGAAAGTCTTCCCCTGCACTGTAGCTTTCAAATCTTTTTCACATATTATTCAATAAGGTGTGTAAGGACGTGGGGTAGATGCTTCATGATTGATGTCAATAATGACAAATGTTTGATGGAATTGTGAATGAGATCTGCTGTTAAAGATAACTACAGAAGAGTTTATGACATTAAAAAATATACAAGTCAGAGATGGCAAAACAGAGATAGCAAAGACAAAGAGAGACCAAGCACTCTGCCCTGACTGTTGGTCATTACCACAGTATTTTCCAAGAGCGGTTGTGAAGATGTTGCACTTTTGTGTTCTGGGACAAAAGAAATCAATGTGTTTAAACGGGTCCCTATCAGACTATAGAGTTCTAGAGTGCAGCACCTCCACTTTTCCCGATTTCTGCTGATGCCTTCAACACTCATTCACTCACACAGTGGAAAAGAGCTAGCAGCGAATCTCTAAGAGCTACGAACCTATATCCACTGCAATCAATGTTCCAGCCCACTTATGTAACCCACACACAAAATAAAGATTGACAGAGCTTTTCATATCCGTTTTAGCCGAGGGCTTATAGAATACCACAATGTGAATGCGTTAAAATGCAACAAAAATTTTAACTTCAAAAAGGTGAAAGTGTCTTTGGGCTGATGGAAGGTGGAAGAGTGTTGGTCACAAGTACTGAGAAAATATTTCCCATAATGTAGGACTCAGATATGACAGATGGATGCTGCATTTTGGGATACCGGTAGACTTAAACTGCATTTGGCTTTCTGTTTTGCAACTGATGTTCTGTTCTGTGTTATTTCTGTCTCACTCTCTCTTTCGCTCATTCTCTCTCCCTGTAGGTAGCATTATCACTCCAAACTACCTAGATAACTCTACATCCAATGTGGGAGCATGGTGCTCTTGTGCGGCTAGTGGGAATTTCCGAGATCAGTGCAACCACTTCCTTGGCCATTTCCATGACAACAATTGCTTGAGTGAGTAAAAACCTCTCCTCTGTCCTATATCACAAATAAACATTACGATCATTGCTGGAGATTCCCTTTTGTTCTTGGAGGGGGAAATGAGAGGGAGGCACAGAAACAACATGCAGTGGCATATAGCCCGTTTCATCATTTCCTGGAAAAGGAGCTTGTGAAGTAGCATTTCCACACATCCACTACCTTGGCATTGTCCTTTGACCTGGATGTTCTTTGACCCATGACACACACTAACAACAACTGTAAAAACAATACTGAGCCTGTCCCAAAACCTACACTTACAGTATGAAGACTGTCCGAGGTCTGACATAGAAAACTGTTCTGGAAAGGTTTTAAAAGACTTTTATTTCTTAGTGCAGAAATTTTTAATAATATGAAGAAAATTTTTTCCTAGTAGTGAAAAATAAAAGAAAGAAAAATAACATTTTGTCTAATTGAAAGGTTCCATTGATGTTAAAGGTTCTTATGAAACCAGAGATGCCAATGAAGAACCTTTATTTTTGAGAGTGTAGTGCATTTCCCACACACTGGTAGTTTCAGTTTACATTTTAAATAAATGTTTAGGCTTGGTGTTTATAGTAAATGCTTATAATGCTATAATATATGTTTGTTTTATGTGTGACTTATAGCAGGGACTGTTCCACACTCATATACTCCAACTGATAGAAAATAGAGGTGATGCAACACAAGAGTCAGTAGAGAGATGTATCTGCATCCCTGTTCTTCACAGTCAGCACTATTATTGTGCATTCAGCAGAGCTGAGAGAAAACTCTTGATGTAACGTTATGAAGTTTCAATGCCTGTCGGTAATGAGGCATTAACAGTCATCAGGAGCACAGGATATCTTCAGTGGTGTGTTCTGCTCATGCCCCGCTGCATCTCTGAGCCACTAATAACAAACAAACCATGTAAACACATCTGTTTCACAGGTGAGGTGGTGCTGCATTTGACCACTGAGATCTTGGAGATTAGCTCTAGCTCTGATCCAGAAGCGCTTCAGTGTGATCGTGCTCCTCAAGGGTATTTCCGGCATTTACAAAACTGCAGCGTCCAGTTTCCACCATCCCTCTCTATTCTTTCTGAGGGTCTTGGGTATCTCAAAATATAAAAATAAAGCGAATTCAAATTATTAAGAAATAATATAATAGTATATAAATAATGCTAAAATGACACTGAACAGAGAAGATGCTCATGGTACAGAGCTGCAATATCGATTATAAATATTTATAACACTGTACTAATGATATTAAAAAGGCACTATTACATTGTACAGTAAAGTATTCTGTGGAAGTCACTCTCTCTCTCTCTCTAGCTTCATCTTCCCTGTAAGATCACAAAGATTAAGCAATTAGTGTTTCAATTAAGAAAGAAAAATCACTCAACCACGCCACTGTTCACCATTCATAAATCTAATCTTCTTTTTTCCCCCACAAAACATTTTCCTCAGCACCAGAAAAGAATATCAGACTCTGATATGGAGTCATATCCAGTGGCGTCCTCACAGCTGTCTTAATTGAGGCGACTTTCACGCCATGGTAATTTCAGACAAGTGGCCTACTAGACAAATGGAAATTAATCAGTTCAGATTATTATCATTCATATGGCCTGTCACTATAAGTCTACATATAGCCAATAAAAAGTGGAAAATTAAGTAGAGTGTGATTGGAAATCTGTATTTAGTTTTAATATCGGAGGTAATTTTGCCAGTACACAGGTGACTGTAAAGATTAATTCAAAATAAATACACACAGATGTTTTAGTACAAGTAAGATTTGTTTTAAACACCAAGATACAGGAGGTAATCAAACGTCTTTCAAACCCACATGCACAGAGGCACACTCAAGTACACACTCCATTTTACGCATTCAATCTTTCCCAAGGGAAAACACACTGAACGAAAATGAAAGATAAGAAAGAAAATGGAAGACATGGGCAAAGAAATAAGGACGAATGCCAAGCTGTTAAGAAATACAAGTGTTTTTTTTATATTTCTGGAAGGCAGGATTAGCCGATTGGTAATATAGGAATGTATATTCTACTATAGAAACAAACTATATTTAGAGCATGAATCAGATGATGGAGTTTATGATCCTGAATGCTGTTCTGTCAACATTTAAGCTGGATAACTTCTATATACTGTAAGCCAGTCCTCTTTGGTTCCCCTGAGTGTGTTTTGTTGTTGTCATTGTAAGAAAACATGTTGACGAAATCCAAACCCATTTTGAAAGAGTGACATGTCTGAAAGAGAAAGCTAACTGAGGCATGACTGCCTTCCAGATGTGTTCATCTGAATCTGACTCTCCCCTACTTTCAAACAGAGAATGCCATCCTGGCTTTTGGGAATGACACAGATCTGAAATCTGCGACAAACCAAGCTCCGGGCTCCAACACCAAGCAGATCTTAGTTGCCAGCACTGAGACCACCACTACCACCATTGGTTCTGGCATGGAGACAGAGCAGAACATCCTGCGTCCACAGATGCCCACACAGGTACAGGCCTTTATCCCAGTCAGTTTGAGTGCCAGTATACGTTCTAGGACCTTTTGAAAATCTAACTCGCTGTGTTCCTGCTAGATTTCAAACCAGTCAAACCCGATCATTCACGTTCCCTATTCATTCACGTCAGTGCTTTCTTGTGAGCGAACATAGATTTGCATTGTGTATGACACTGCATACATATTGTGTCCCAAAAATCACTTAAAATCCATTCTGACTGTCCAGACTGTAACACATTTGAAAAAAAAAGCTATTTTAATTGGATTTCAAATCACATATGGATATGGTTTGGTTTTGTAAAAAGTGGATTTTTTTTTTGCTGTTCAGAGTGCAAACAGCTAAATGGATTGGAGTCAGATATGCTTTTCATGTCTGTCAGAACAAAGCCATAGATTTGTGTTATAGTCTCCCTGCTGAAAGAAACCAGCCGACATGATTACTGTTGTCTGTTTCCCTGCCTAACCAAGCTTACCACTTTAGTCTGGTTTTGTGGTTTTAGAGGGGGGGGGTTGGGGATTTGTCAGATGGTCTGGACCAGACTGGAAGACCAGCTAAGAGCAGCAAACCACCTTACTGTAGACTGGCTTTTTGTTTTGTTATTTTCTAATGCCGTGGTTCTCAATTGGTTTCAATCAGAAGCCAATCGTTCTCTCAACTAAACCTGTATTTGTATTCAGGCACACATTCTTTTCTCTTCCATTACATGTCACATAACCTACACTATTGGGATCAGTATGATTATTTTCTAAAATAAATTTTTTTTCCCCCGCAAAGTGCAAGTAAAAACATTTTTAATGTTACAAAAGATTTCGGTTTCATATAAATTATATTCTTTTGAACTTTCTATTCATCAAAGAATCCTGAAAAAAAATCTGAAAAATATCAGTTTCCACAAAAATATGTGGAATAAAAATCAGCATATTAGAATGATTTCTGAAGGATCATGTGACACTGACGACTGGAGTAATGATTCTAAAAATTCAGCGTTGCCTTCATAGGAATACATTACATTTTAAAAGATATAGATATCAGTTATTTTAAATTGTAATGATATTTCACATGATATCTTGCATACTAAACATACAAATGTTTTTTATTCTATTAAATGCAGCCTTGGTGAGACTTTTATCAAAAGACATGGGAAGCATCTTTACCTTCCTTTTAAAAGTTGAGAAGTCTGTTCATGTATTTGTAACTATACACACTTTTGTGGCTGCTTGTTTTATCATTTACGCTTCAGAACCCAGCAACCACTGGTCCATTAGAGATGCATCCATCTAGTGCTGTATCTGTCTGTGATGCGATACCTGTAAAAGATAGAACCAACCACAGAAAGGAAATGATATGATAAAACGGTAAAACACGAAATAACAAAGTGAAGAAGACAGATGCAAACAACAGCATATCATGTATCTAAAGCTCTCACTTGCTCTTTTTGTTCTGTAGATGAATGAGAGAGACAGACTGTGGGGGGATTCCACGCTCCCGTCCCCTGATCCCTATGACGCCAGTCCTGCAGCAGCCCACCTGGCCATGGTAATGTGGCTCCTCCCCATCCTGCTGCTGGCTCTCCAACTTTAAAATCTAGCAACCAATCAAAGCACCACAGAACTGGGACAGCGTGCGTGTGTTCATGATTTTCGACTTATCGCATCACAATAACTTGTTTGGAGAGGACGCAAGAACTGCCAAGCTCTCTAAATGTATGAAACCCTGCTCCATTCCTCAAAGCAACATAGTGATTCATTGTCTGGGGGTTCATAATGACTGACTTCAAGGGTTTAAATAATTGTCTCTCTCGCTCTTAATTTGAACTGAAGATGGTGCCCATGTAAAATAAAACCCCCTCTCTTCAAAGCGAGCGCCTGAAAGGTAGTCAACGGGTGGCTGAGTCATGCCTACGCTACAAATTTCACACCCCCCCCCCCAAAAAAAAACGGACAGCTCTTCCGAATGGACTGTGTTGGTATGTGTGCTGTATATTCACCCAGATAGAAGTGTGTTTTGTGATGTTTGCTTGAAGAAGCACATGCGCAAGTGGTAAGAGAAAGGAAACAGAGCTCTTTCATGAGCTTCAGTGGGTTACAGAGACTGCCTTTACTTTTGTAATGTGGCTGTATTGTTTAAATGTACATCCCACAGGCTGTTTCTCCCAGCAGTCTTGGAGTGGAAAATGGTAGGGATATGAAGAGCAGAAGAGTTAAAGTATCTTGATGACTGCCATGATCACTGAGCAGTTCTTGTATACTTCACCTGTGAATATGGGTGTCTGAAATACTGCATCAAACTGCTTATCGCAAATGGAAAAATAAGCACAAACCCTGTTAAACGAAACACTTCCTGTTTATGTGAATTCAAGCAGCTTTATCCCATCTCCTTACTCACCGTTTGTCTCAGCCAATCAAAACGAGCACAACGAGGGTCCATTGATCCTCTCTAGTGACTGACAGCAGTTTTCTGCGTCCCCATCCTATGAGCACTCGCCATCTGCAGTTGTGTTGCTTTTTCATTCTCAATTGTCCTGTGATGACAAACAAGGTGAGTGAAAAGTAGACCCTAACAACCTCTAGAGACTACTGACCAATCGGCGACCTGCATCACAAAACGGGGCAAGGCATTTCTCTCAAATGGGTGGAAATTGTGGATTTTACTTATTTCCTGAAAAATAAACCTGCCAGATTGCTTTTCATGTCTGTCAGAACAAAGCCATAGATTTGTGTTATAGTCTCCCTGCTGAAAGAAACCAGCCGACATGATTACTGTTGTCTGTTTCCCTGCCTAACCAAGCTTACCACTTTAGTCTGGTTTTGTGGTTTTAGAGGGGGGGGGTTGGGGATTTGTCAGATGGTCTGGACCAGACTGGAAGACCAGCTAAGAGCAGCAAACCACCTTACTGTAGACTGGCTTTTTGTTTTGTTATTTTCTAATGCCGTGGTTCTCAATTGGTTTCAATCAGAAGCCAATCGTTCTCTCAACTAAACCTGTATTTGTATTCAGGCACACATTCTTTTCTCTTCCATTACATGTCACATAACCTACACTATTGGGATCAGTATGATTATTTTCTAAAATAATTTTTTTTCCCCCGCAAAGTGCAAGTAAAAACATTTTTAATGTTACAAAAGATTTCGGTTTCATATAAATGATATTCTTTTGAACTTTCTATTCATCAAAGAATCCTGAAAAAAAATCTGAAAAATATCAGTTTCCACAAAAATATGTGGAATAAAAATCAGCATATTAGAATGATTTCTGAAGGATCATGTGACACTGACGACTGGAGTAATGATTCTAAAAATTCAGCGTTGCCTTCATAGGAATAAATTAAATTTTAAAAGATATAGATATCAGTTATTTTAAATTGTAATGATATTTCACATGATATCTCGCATACTAAACATACAAATGTTTTTTATTCTATTAAATGCAGCCTTGGTGAGACTTTTATCAAAAGACATGGGAAGCATCTTTACCTTCCTTTTAAAAGTTGAGAAGTCTGTTCATGTATTTGTAACTATACACACTTTTGTGGCTGCTTGTTTTATCATTTACGCTTCAGAACCCAGCAACCACTGGTCCATTAGAGATGCATCCATCTAGTGCTGTATCTGTCTGTGATGCGATACCTGTAAAAGATAGAACCAACCACAGAAAGGAAATGATATGATAAAACGGTAAAACACGAAATAACAAAGTGAAGAAGACAGATGCAAACAACAGCATATCATGTATCTAAAGCTCTCACTTGCTCTTTTTGTTCTGTAGATGAATGAGAGAGACAGACTGTGGGGGGATTCCACGCTCCCGTCCCCTGATCCCTATGACGCCAGTCCTGCAGCAGCCCACCTGGCCATGGTAATGTGGCTCCTCCCCATCCTGCTGCTGGCTCTCCAACTTTAAAATCTAGCAACCAATCAAAGCACCACAGAACTGGGACAGCGTGCGTGTGTTCATGATTTTCGACTTATCGCATCACAATAACTTGTTTGGAGAGGACGCAAGAACTGCCAAGCTCTCTAAATGTATGAAACCCTGCTCCATTCCTCAAAGCAACATAGTGATTCATTGTCTGGGGGTTCATAATGACTGACTTCAAGGGTTTAAATAATTGTCTCTCTCGCTCTTAATTTGAACTGAAGATGGTGCCCATGTAAAATAAAACCCCCTCTCTTCAAAGCGAGCGCCTGAAAGGTAGTCAACGGGTGGCTGAGTCATGCCTACGCTACAAATTTCACACCCCCCCCCCCAAAAAAAAACGGACAGCTCTTCCGAATGGACTGTGTTGGTATGTGTGCTGTATATTCACCCAGATAGAAGTGTGTTTTGTGATGTTTGCTTGAAGAAGCACATGCGCAAGTGGTAAGAGAAAGGAAACAGAGCTCTTTCATGAGCTTCAGTGGGTTACAGAGACTGCCTTTACTTTTGTAATGTGGCTGTATTGTTTAAATGTACATCCCACAGGCTGTTTCTCCCAGCAGTCTTGGAGTGGAAAATGGTAGGGATATGAAGAGCAGAAGAGTTAAAGTATCTTGATGACTGCCATGATCACTGAGCAGTTCTTGTATACTTCACCTGTGAATATGGGTGTCTGAAATACTGCATCAAACTGCTTATCGCAAATGGAAAAATAAGCACAAACCCTGTTAAACGAAACACTTCCTGTTTATGTGAATTCAAGCAGCTTTATCCCATCTCCTTACTCACCGTTTGTCTCAGCCAATCAAAACGAGCACAACGAGGGTCCATTGATCCTCTCTAGTGACTGACAGCAGTTTTCTGCGTCCCCATCCTATGAGCACTCGCCATCTGCAGTTGTGTTGCTTTTTCATTCTCAATTGTCCTGTGATGACAAACAAGGTGAGTGAAAAGTAGACCCTAACAACCTCTAGAGACTACTGACCAATCGGCGACCTGCATCACAAAACGGGGCAAGGCATTTCTCTCAAATGGGTGGAAATTGTGGATTTTACTTATTTCCTGAAAAATAAACCTGCCAGATACGGATGTACAGAATAATGCTTGTGTGTCCAAATATGTACATAAAGTGAAGATCATATGTTTGCTATGATCCAGCAAAAATCTGCATTGATTTTTGGGGAAAAACCTGAGCAATTGATTTTAACATGGTAAAATATCCTAAAATTATATTTGAAAATAGTTATATGGAAAATAGCTGTGAGAAGATTCTCCAATATTTATATGCAGTTTCGTTTGCCCCACAGAAGAAAGTCATACATGTTTGATTTGGGATAAATACTGGGATATTGGAATATTTATTTCTTAAAAATAGCTAAAAGCTTTACCAAATGAGCCAACAGTGGCAATAGGTAATAGAGGGGCTTCATGAATGACTTCTGTTGTAATTCTGCAGGAATCTTCAAGTTCTGGGGGTGCAGATTGTTTGTGGGCCTGCCGATCAGTTCAAGCTGAGAGGGTAATGAGTAACTGAGGGAGTGAACTAACCCTCATTTATCTGGAGCACAGTCGTTGCATCTTCACCTATGCGCATAATCTGGGCCAGCACACACATCTACACTGCCCTTCAGACTGAACCCTCAACAAAATAAAACACCCACATGTAACAGTGTTGTGATACTGCCACAAGACATACTCAAAGGAAATCTGAAGGATATCTTGACTCGGGAGGAGGACAACATGGACGTGGACACCAAGGCACTCGCTGTTAACTAAGCTGAAAATATATATATATTTTTTTCTTCTGTCATATTTATGAGTTTCTTTTTTCTGTTGAGAATATTGCCGCTTTACAATTACACATTCATTAAGCTCCCCCCCAAATGCTGGTCATCCATGTAAGACAAATGCACAAAAAGACAGGATAATGCGGAGACTCTCAATGGGGAATCGGTTCAACACTGCAACTGGAATTGCTTGCCAGTTCAGCGATGAACAGGGTAAGGATCTGTCTCGGCACGTTTAAAAGAAGTCGGACTGAAAGCGCACTCTGCAGTGACCAAGCCTCTCATCAGCAGAAAGAATCAAAAGGCTAGGCTCACTTTTGCTGAGGAGCCTATTGTGTGGAGGGAGGAGAAAATTGATGCGACGTGTAGCCAAGTATGGTGTCCCATACTCGGAATTTGTGCCCTGCATTTAACCCAGTATGATTATTTTCTAAAATAAATTTTTTTTCCCCCGCAAAGTGCAAGTAAAAACATTTTTAATGTTACAAAAGATTTCGGTTTCATATAAATTATATTCTTTTGAACTTTCTATTCATCAAAGAATCCTGAAAAAAAATCTGAAAAATATCAGTTTCCACAAAAATATGTGGAATAAAAATCAGCATATTAGAATGATTTCTGAAGGATCATGTGACACTGACGACTGGAGTAATGATGCTAAAAATTCAGCGTTGCCTTCATAGGAATACATTACATTTTAAAAGATATAGATATCAGTTATTTTAAATTGTAATGATATTTCACATGATATCTCGCATACTAAACATACAAATGTTTTTTATTCTATTAAATGCAGCCTTGGTGAGACTTTTATCAAAAGACATGGGAAGCATCTTTACCTTCCTTTTAAAAGTTGAGAAGTCTGTTCATGTATTTGTAACTATACACACTTTTGTGGCTGCTTGTTTTATCATTTACGCTTCAGAACCCAGCAACCACTGGTCCATTAGAGATGCATCCATCTAGTGCTGTATCTGTCTGTGATGCGATACCTGTAAAAGATAGAACCAACCACAGAAAGGAAATGATATGATAAAACGGTAAAACACGAAATAACAAAGTGAAGAAGACAGATGCAAACAACAGCATATCATGTATCTAAAGCTCTCACTTGCTCTTTTTGTTCTGTAGATGAATGAGAGAGACAGACTGTGGGGGGATTCCACGCTCCCGTCCCCTGATCCCTATGACGCCAGTCCTGCAGCAGCCCACCTGG